ATCGGGGTCCCGGCGCGCTCCGGCCCGGTGTGTGTTCACATCGGGGTCCCGGCGCGCGCTCCGGCCCGGCGTGCGTTCGCATCGCACCCTGCGGAGCAGCTTGTTGTGGCCATCGTTCGCAGCCAGGTTGGCTCTGCGCCTGCAAGCTGCAGCACCCTGCAAGGCTCTTGGCAAAAGGCAAAATCCTCTGTTCAAACACTTGGGTTAGTGCTGTTAGTCACTAATTTTCAAGAGCACTAAAAAGATGAAAAAGACACAAAACAGAAATACCTTTTTATGCTGCTTTTATTCAAGCCACTAGAAATACCCTGGAAGTTGAAGGAATACCAACATGGCTCTTTAGTCCCCACTTCATTTCAGACTGACACACGCTTGTTCTTTAGCCATATTTTAACAGGCTTCAGGTTAGTGACTTGAAGTCCAAAATTTTAGCTTGAGATGGAAGTGGAAATTGAGCTTCATTTAAAAATGAGTGGGCTTTTTCTATTTTTTGGGGGGGTAACATTTCAAAAATGTGTCTAAAAAGGCATTGCATTTTATGATTGTCTATTTCAGCGGTAAGGTAAAAACAGCTGTTTTATTTCTGGATTATAATTTCGTGTTTTTCCTGCAGCCTAATGTACCATACAGTAGCTTTGAACACTCAGGAAATGCAGTAGTGTCCTCGAACGCACTATTCGCAAACCCCGGCTGTTAAGAGAACTGACCTGCAACTCTCTAAGGGGGAACTGGGCAGAGGGAATTAGTGCAATTTGCTCGACACTCACATTCGTGTGTTATTAACAGACAATTGGAAACGTACCACGCTTAACCCCAGTTCTAAATAAATTTCAAATTTGAAAATTTTTAAACCTGTGCTTCTGTTGATTTGTGACTTTTTTACAGCAAGGTTTACTCTGAGGAATGACAGTTTCCGTGACTATTCGGTGAGCAAACCACTGATACAGAACTCGTATTTGGGTGGTATAAATGGCTAATGGCTAACGTTTTGTTTTCAAGACTGTCATGAAATCAAAGTGGTCAGATGTCTTCACAGTCCTTTAATTAAAGTACTTGTCATTCTCAAAAAAAAGCAACAACCACTAAAAAAAAAAACAGATGATACTCCTCAGCAACGTAGAATAGGATATAATACTTCATATGTCACACCTCCCTTTAATTTAATGAGTGAGCCCTGTATCTGATGCTCCAAATTTTAATCTGAATCAAGGATTTTGTCACAAAAAGTTGCAAGTATTTGCCAAGTGTAAGCAATGAGGAACGTCTTCATTGCTAATCATTTTTCCATAGCTTGATTAAAGGTTGCTAAGGAAGTCTTTGATGGCCTCCAACACAAAATAGTTACTAATAATAAGAAAAAGAAAAAACAGAACGTTGTTCTACAAGACATGAAATTCCTTTTTTGGTCTTGAACTGCAAGAACCGGGAATGTTGAATGGCCTGACAGAGCTTGATGAAACAGTCGGGTTGGACAGTTTAAAAGGCACTTATTAAGGAATGACTAATAAGTGCAGAAAAATGAGTTGCTTCTGTCTGCATTTTATCAGTGTATGTCATACTTCATGGGCATAAGTTGCAGCAGGGGCTGTTTGGTTGTTCCCCGTCCTTGTTTTTATTGTCCCGTTGAGAGGCGTTTCCAACATCTACATCTGTTGGCTTATATGATAAATTGGACAAAAAAAAAAAGTATTTAATGAGATGGGAAAGTTAACTTCTCAATTCATGTTTTGTGCCCCAACATATAGGTGCTGCCTCTCTGCTTTGTTTTTTTAATCTCAAATTTGTCATCCTGACTGTAACAAGGCTGCAGCTGCTGCCCAGGCCACAAAAGCACAGTGTTACTGTACAGGTGCTAAGGTGAAATAGCAGGGGGTTTTTCACAGCATCAGAGAGCGACTGAGGGTGGAAGGGACCTCTGGAGATCATCTAGTCCAACCCCCTGCTCCAGCAGGGACACCCAGAGCACGTGGCACAGGGTGGCATCCAGGCAGGTTTGGAAGATCTCCAGAGAAGGAGACTCCACAAGGAGCCTCTCTGGGCAGCCTGTTCCAGGGCTCTGTCACCCTCACAATAAAGAAGTTCTTCTTCACAGGGAGGTGGACCTGCCTGTGTTTCAATTTGTACCCACTACCGCTTGTCTTAGGTCACCACCAAGAAGAGTTTGGCCCCATCTTCTTTACATTCTCCCCTCAGGTATTTGTACATGGAAACTAATGGTGGAGGCTCTGGTGCTTACCTGATTTCAACAACCAAATGAGAGAAAAACAGGAGCAACTCTATTTTGAGATGGACTGGACTTAGAAATTAAACTATTATGCTGCTCTTCAAAGGCAGGCAGATCAGAGCTTTGCGGTTAGCAAAAAGGTGTCTTTCTCCACTCCCTGCAATGGAAAAAGTTCAAATTTGAAAGTTTTTGGTTTTTTGTCAAACAATATTTTTTGCATTGGAGTTGGGTGTTTTTTTAAAGTAACTTAGTAGATGGTGTGGGAACACACTGATACCGTGAACTCGTGTTGCGTGAGACTGAAGCAGCACACAGGAGCTTTGGGGATTTTTCCTCACCTGTGAAGGGTTTTCTCTAGTGTCACCACTCGGACAGTGCAGAGGAGAGAGGCGGCTTTTTGTCAATTCAATAATTACTTGAAACCTTATTTTAACAAGAGCTCTGAGTATGTTACATCTGCAAATGTATGTTATGGGGCAAACTGTCTTATATGGGAGAAAGGTCACCGAGATTCAAAAAAAATCTTTCTAGCACTTCTAAATTACCATTTCTTGTGTACAGAATAGAGGATTTTCCTCCTACACTGTGGCAGGAAAACCAAGGATTTTAAGATCATAATTATTTTTTGGCAAATTTTTGACAAACATTTTTTAACTGAATTTACTCAGCTTTTGAGACCTTAATCATATAATCAGTTTTGTAGTCTCAGTTGTTGAGAGCAGGATTTGAAAATTAAGTTTAAATTGCCCCTGAAATATGAACTGCTTTTTTGACTGGAGAAAGTAACAAATTCAGTCTTTTTTTAATGCAATTTTAAATCTCATTGTATAATGATAAAGTTACTGGTTTTAAGGATCATTCCCTGGGATAATTTGGGAGGGAATACATGTGGATTAATGGTAGACCTTCTTTACTTGTTGCTTCTTTCTTTTCAGTTCAAAATTAATGACAATTCAACCAAGTTACTCTGAAATTAAAAGCAAAAATACTATGAATTCTTTCAGTTAATTCAAATTTACCACTGCCTTTCAGGTAAGAATTCACACTGAAGGCTTTTCCTCCACTACAGAAAACAAGCAAACAAACAAAAAACCTGCTGATATTGTATTTCCAATTACTCATAAAAACCCTTTAAAATCACCACCACAGAGAGCCATAAAATACACAGTTCATGTCTTAGGTTACTATAAATTCTCGCTACTCTGACTAGTAAAACCATATTTGTCAAGCAGGTGAATTATCTCTCACAGAAAC